AAAGTTGCATGGCTGTAGCGAGGGGGGGGAAGAGGTGAGAGGCGTTCGGGATGAAGTAATCAGCCCTCTGACCCAGAGGAGAGCACAGAGTTTAACTGGTTATTTGCTTTATCTAAAACTTTCTACTGTGCTGCAGTGAGGGATTGGTCTATGCTGTGTCCTAGTGCCGGCTTTGGGCAGGCTGCTGTTGCATGTGTAACACGGATATCGATGTTGTTATACTGGGAGTGTCCTAGGAATAATCTAGGCTAGCTTAATTTACCAGCACAAGCTTCTTTGTTTCCCTTAAACCACAATTTCACCTGCAAAACCCCTTCAGTTCCTTGTATCAGCAGAATTTTGGTTTGAGAGCCATCTGTATGATCTTGTGGGCTTCCAGTGCCAGGGTCTATGCAGAGGCTCTTCATTACAGTAGGAATTCTGGGAGCAAGCACACCATCCAGAAGCGTGCCCAAAGGCCCTGGGTAAACAAACCTGGAGAATCACGGGAAATGCTCAGCTTTTGGTGAGAAAGTCACTTCTTGCCCTTTGAGCCGTTACAGTCGCTCCCTTTTAGGGGCAGTAAAACCTTGACATCGACTGCCTGTATTACGGGCTGGTTGTGTGCAGAGGGTTTGCATCTTCGAGCAGAAGTGCCCTCCAACAGAGAGGTGTTGTTTAGCTTCAGAGTACTTTGTGTAGTAGGTTACTGGTGATATCTGTGAGATGCCTTAAGTTAGGAACTTTGTGTGTGATTCTCTCTACCTCAGTCCTGCTGATCTGAGGAGAAAATACTGTCAGTTGTCCAGCTGTGGTAGCAGAGGTCAGGGTGAGTTTGTCCCTAGAGCTGATGTGCCACAGTCGCTGTGGTGACACTAATGTTGTGGGTTTGTAGGCAGAGGGCTCAGTTACTAATTAGACCAAAACCTAATTGTACAGAGAAAAGCTGGAGCGCCTCAGTGAAGCTGCCCAAATAGCTACACAAGCAAATTGGGAACAAATTGGTGTGTGGTCTTAGTGTAATCAGGAGCCTGCGGGAGGTTGGTTAAAGTGCTCTGTGGAACAGTTCGAAGGTGCCTGCAGTTACACTGGGGGGGTATCCACTTGTTTGGTGAATTTGGGGGGCAGCTAGTGTAAACCATGTGCTCTTGGCAACTTGCTGGTGTAACGGGTGTTTTATCTGCTGGTGTGAGCAGGGTTTGGGCTCCTTGCAGTGCATGAGGGTACATGCTGCTGGTGCTTCACGGGTCACGTAACTTTGGGGCCTTTTGCTGCTTCTCCAAGTTGTGTTTGTTAAACGGGTTTTCCAAGGAGTTTCGCCGCCGTTTCTGCTGAAGCTGCTACATATATTCTTCTGTTTTGGGGAACAGATTCTTTAGCATGGTACTAAATCCAAAACAAAATGCTGAAGCCCACGTTGCTGAAGGAGTTCTTTGAAAACTGAGTTGTGGCAATAGCTGGGAGAGCCTGTGAGATCCAAGTTCAGCTTCTGAAGTGCACTGCATGTTTCAAGGCACTGAACTTGAGCGATCCCTCAACTTTTGTCCAGTCCTTTCCCTGAGTCCTTATCAGAATGCACTCAAGGGCAGGATTTTGGTGACCATGCCATATTTGCGCGTCTGCTTGCATAATCTTTACTCTGCATGCACTTGTTTAACCTTTTTTGGCTTGCCTATGGTGCCTAATCTCTCTATCAGTATCTTAATCTCGGTTTTGCTTAGTCATGGTAGGGATCCCTTACCCTTCTAGCTGTGGTATCTTGGCTCTTTGGAAAGTGTTGGGTTGGTTTGTTTCATTTTTTTTTAAAAAAAAAAAAAAAGGCAACTTTCTTAATATGTTAAAATAAATGTCTGCCTTTAATGCAAAGATTTGAGTTTTGGGGTTCTGGTACTGCTGGAAGCTGGTAGTAGCAGTGTCTTCCTGCTCTGTGTGAACAGGTCTCGTTCCAGTGGGAAGAGAAGGATCGATAGGAGATAGGATAGCCCTTCTGTTCAGCTGCACTCCAGGCAAGATGACCTGAAATCATAGAAATTTAACCTGTTTTCATCATTTTAGATCCCGTAGTCAGAAGCATTAAAAATGGAATTGAGGCTCTAAAGCCTTATTTCCTCTGTCACTGGTAAAGCATTAGAACTTATTTCATGGTCGCCTTAATCCAAGGCAGCACTAATAAAGTGTTTTCAACTTGCTTAATAATTCCCAATGTTTAGGTAGTAGTTTCCTACTTAGAAATGGAGTGGTGAATCTTTCTGGCGTGTTACTTATGAATGAGTAACTTGAAGCTGAGAAAATTCACTGAACCAGAAAATGGGAGATGCCATGCAGTACATAAGGACAGAGTTATTTGGTGGATTTTAAACGTGGCACTGCATGCAATCCCAAAAGTGCATCCTGGGGAAGGATAAAAGTCAATGGAGAGAAGAGATTTAGGTTAAGGGAATGGTGATGGTTTCAGGCACTGGGAGGGGACTTCTCTACATCTCAAAGGTTTTTATCAGCAAGGTGGTTTTGGGGTTCCATGGTCTGCTAGAACCAAATTCTATTCTGGTGTCTTGTACGTGCTTTCAGTTGTGCTTAAGCAGTTCCAAAGTAGCTGTCTTGCCAGATAATCATACAATAATTTCTTTTGGAAAGGACCCTTGAAGCTTTATCTGGTCCAACCCCCAGCTCAAATTAGGATTAACTTGAAGGTCGGGTTCCTTGGTGCTTTGTGGAGGCAACCCCAAAGGGCGGAGGCTCTGCACGTTCCCTCGCCAACTCGTTTCAGTGCTCGTCTTGTGAATAGCTTTTTATTGTATCTGCTGGGAATGTTCTTGCTGCAACTTAAACCTTTTGGCTTCTATCCCTTTGGTGTATAAAGCATTGTTTGGCTAAAAATACGAATTTCCCGCAGAAGTGGGAACACAGAATGTAACTTTAGGTAATAGCTGGACTCTGAAAGGACTGACTGATTCCCAGTTGCTGGAGGTAATGCCTCTTACTGCTCTGGCACTGATGGAGCAGAGACTTGGCTTCCTTGGTGCTTGCTTCAGAGAGTAGGTAAAGCTCTCTAGTTATTCAGAGAGGCTTATGTTTGCTCGAAGAAGTGTAGCAGCTGATGTTGCCAGGACAATTTTATTTTTAGAGATGTGGAAATAAAGAATTTCCAATTTATTTTTTTTTTATGATCTGGAATGGTTTTCGGTAACAAATTCAAACTCATTAAAAATTTCAGCACCCAGGTGGTGAAGAGGTCCTCAGGGAGCAAGCTGGAGGAGATGCTACTGAGAACTTTGAAGATGTTGGTCATTCCACAGATGCAAGGACACTGTCAGAAAGCTTTATTGTTGGGGAACTTCATCCGGTGAGTATGTGAGAGTACCAGTACTTGCTGTTTACTGCAGTGGGTCTGTGTCTAGTTATTTCTCTGGCAATTTATTTAAAAACGAAGGAGAGGTTTGGTTGGATGCCAGCCCTGCAGGTGTTTGTGGGTGGACCTGGGCTGCAGATAGGTTCCCCCAATGTGAAGGCGTTTGATTAGTGTAGCATAAGGATGGTCACAGCTGAAAGTTTGCTGCTTTGAGCTATTTTATAGCTTAGCTCCTGAATAAACTGAATATGGAGTCATGCCCTTTCTGGTGTACCCTGTCAGCTTTATGACGACACCGCTGAAGGTGATATGTCAGGATGTCTAGAGCTTTTCTTATGTCAGTATGCAGAGGGATCGCTGTAAATATATCTATGTGCACATGCCAGGCTTCCATCTGGATCTAAAAGTACAATCCTGGCTCTTTGCATGTGTGTGTAGAAAATGGCTACTGTAAGCATCGTGCTTCTAGTTTGATGCTGTCTTCCCCCTCTCTGGCTCCCCCCAGCTTGTGCTGTAGCAGTGTTCCCTACTTGCAGCTCTCAGGGCTGTTTGTGAGGCCTTCCCACTGGATCAGCTGTCACGCCCTCTCTTCCACCTCTCCTTACTGTTTCCTCTGCTTTTAACAAGCACCTTGCTGCTGCCTCGAGGCTTTATTTCGAGCTACAGAGCTGCTGCCTTGCCTTCCTTCAGAGAGGCCTTCTGTAGGCCCTCCTGCATCTCGCTAGCTGGAAACCACTTGTTAGAGGCTCAGGCTGCGCGTGTGCCCGTCTGCAGTGCCCTGCTGCCCTCCCTGCCTCTCCTGCCGGCGCTCTGTCTGCTGTGTCTTGCATTCCGGGTGAATATCGTGTGTTTCACAGTGAGGTTCCTGATCTTGTCTCTATCTTGGGTCCTCATGATAAATATTAATAGCGCAGCTTCTCCTGACACGCCGTAATTCGGCCCTGCGCACCTGTAGCCTCGCGGGCTCGTCACCTGTCTGAGGTGGCAGTGGGTGCCAGTAAAGCCAGTCTGGCTCTTCCTAGTTTGCCCAGTGTCTGCTTTCGTTGGGTATGAAACAACCAGTGTGGTAGTTCAGCGTACAAACGCAGCGCTGTCGAGGTTATGTCCTGTTGGGCGTTTTTGTCACTATCTCAAGTCACAAATGTAACTGTTTCAAGTAAGACTTCATGAGTTTATGAAAGATCTGTGGAATTTGGGACCTTTGCGCTGGATGTTGGGCCAAAACTAGTTAGGGGACTTGCTCGGTAATAGGAGCAGACTAACTAGGCGGAGGTAAACTAATGGGATTGTAACTGGGGTCTAAGCTAAGGTGGTGGGTGCTGTTCAGAGACAAAGGAAACTCAAAAACATGGGCAGCAGAAATAATGAAACACGTTAGACTCGGATTTCACTTCTTTGTTGTGTACTGGGAAGTATTATTTAAAGAAGTGATCGTGTTTATTGTAGCTCAAAATCAAACACTGGCGTCTGCTCTTTTGCAGGTCTGTTTCCTAGCTAAAAATAGGTACACGTTAACAGAATAAATGACAAACTGAATTTAGTGATAAATGGTGGTTTTTTGAATGCTTTGGTTTTTTTGTCTAAATGTTTCTTACTTCTCTTCCTGCAGGATGATAGAGGGAAGCTTCAGAAACCAACAGTAAGTGTGTTTCTTGAAATGCTGTGGTGTTTCTTTTAAGCATTAGGGACAGTGTCTGTCTGTAGATGTTACACCCCCAGAGGCAAAAATAATTCAGCTTGATTTAAGTGCAGTGTTGCAGGTCATAAATCTCTTAAACCTGTTGATGTGGCTTCAAATTACTCTTCCTGTTAGCTGTTCTTTTCTTTAATTTGTCTGATTTTGAACCAAGAGGTTACAAAGTGTGATGGCATTACACTACAGCAAGAAAAAAAAACAGTTTATAGACAGAAGGATTAAGCTAATAACTGTTTGTGGGGAGAAAATGTGGTGCTTAACAATATATTGGTAACACTAGAGCATGTGGAGCGTTTGATTTCTGTATTATAGATCTGCTAATTTGCAATTGTGCAGCCTTTTCACGGTGAAAATACTGTTTGCTTCCTGACTCTTTCCGTAGACTTGTCCTGACAATGCAGTATTGCACTTATATTCTAATTCTTTTTTTTCTATCTTTACTAGAATAAAGTTGTGTTGGCACTTAACTATCAAACTCATAAAATTCAGCTGTCCTTTAAAGGAGCAAGTGCATCAGGGACTAATTTGTGCAGTTGTTGCTGCTGCATGTATGGAGCATGTTTGCTCAGGGCTGCCTTAACAGTAGGGCAGGGCGCTTGGGAAATAGTTGAGGATTGTTTTTAAATGAAGTGTAGTAGAAATAGGATCCTGCTCTTGCTGTTTGAGAGGTTACTCTTAAGAAACAATCACTTTTGTGAGTTCTTCCAATTGATATGAATAAGGAAAGCAAGTAAAGAAAAAAATACATTTGCACACTAAAATGTTTGCTGTAGCAGTTGTTAATGTTGTTATGAAGGACTGGAACTAGGGTGCTAACAAAAATAAGAAGCTGAGCGGTGACTGGAGTTCAGAGCTGCTTCCCACCAAGAATAACATCTGCTCTTCAGATTTCTCTTGAAATTCGGGGCAGTTTACACTTAAGCAACCGAGAAGCAGACTGCCCGGTGCAAGTGGTTGTGTACCAGCCCTCGGTTAAACTCACCGGAACTTTAACTAAACTGAAGCACTTAGAATATTCGTTTGGCCACAGCATGGTCTGTTGGGAGTTAAGATTTACCCAAATGACTCTTCACTGCGCTCCTGTGTGGCTCCTTCCCATTTGGCTCAGTGCCGGTCGTGGTTACCTACGCTACGTGTGTGTTCCACCGCTCCAGGGGGAGGCTGGAGCGCTCCCCTCCAGCGGGACGCGTGGGTGTCGCTGATAAGCCAGTTCCGCTGGGCCTGGCCCTCTGGGAGGGTGACGTGCCGGGTTGGGCCCTGTGCCCTGGCTCTCCAGGAGCTGTCAGAGGGCCTCCTGCTTCCTGAGCTCCTTCTCGTCCTTGCAGTGGGTGTAAAGCACCCACATGTTCGTGTCCAGCATCTTCGTGATTAAAACCAGGTTTTGATGTGCCGGGCTGTATTTCTCTTACTGTCTTGGTGTGGAGGGAACTGGCCCTGGCTGTGGCAAGTGTGTTGTAGAAGGAGTTAGTCAGCCTTGATAGCGTGGGCACGGGCTGTCCGTGGTGTTTGGCTTTGGGATTAGTTTGTGTGGAGATGTTCATGAAACCACTACAGACGTAATCACTGAGTCTTACTCGTTTACGTGTGGTGTTTGTCACATCTAAACCGATCACGGTCTGGGCGCTCGCAGAAGCAGCCTGTCTGAACCTGCGAGAGGACGTTGGGAATCTTACGCTCTTTAAGTGTATTGCAAATATTCTGATAGTGAAGCAGTTCATTTTTGACTGATGGATCTCATAGCACTAAATTAAGTCCACTTTTAATGCATGGATCTTCTCAATGCACGTAGGGCCATGTGCAATTAGCACTATTCAAATTAATAAGTCTTCCTACAGATTGTGCACATGTACCCAGCTGGGGTTTGATCTTGTGGTGCTGCTTTTTCTATGGGAACCGAGCAAGAAGTCCAAATCAATATCACAAACAACTATTAATAATCTGCCCGATTCTTACACGATCTGAAACACACTGAAAACCTGGGTTGAATAAGCCTTGTGGATGTAAATTAGTGGCCTTTTTTACGTAGGTAAAATATAAGAAATATTTATGTATTAATTCAGAGTCTTTTCAATTCAATTTTAGGCAAGTGAGGGATCTTTGTCTTTGAGGCAACTAAAACTTGTCAGATGTAACCTGAGGTTGAGGTTAGCTTCGTGGAAAACTTGCAGCAAAATTCCATGTGATGGTATTTTTTTAATCACTTTCGATGCAGTGTTGCCAGCTGGCTTCTAATACGACAGTGTTACAGGGATTCTGGGAATTTCCAAATGCAAAGCCCTGAGTGAGTTTTAAATCAGTTGAGTTTTGAGAAATTGAGGGGCTAGTTAAGGTGGAGAGGGGTGTCTGCCTGATGTAAATATCTCTTTATGCTTTGCTTTCCAGGAAACCCTTATTACCACTGTTCAGTCTAATTCCAGGTATGGTATAACACCTGATGTGAAACTTTAAGTTCCTCACGATTATGTTTCTGAAGCGTGGAAAGCTGAATAGGTTCTGTCTGCCGGGAGCTTAGATGGCAGAGGGTGGTGCATGAAAATGGCTGTGCTGTGTGGAGCACCACTACAAGCATGGTGGCTCACCAGCTGGATTTTCTTTTCCTCACGTTGATACCTGTTGATACCTCTCAAATGGTTTGTGTGGCACAAGCCTTCCTTTCTGGAGGCTGTTGGATGAGGAGGAGACATGGTGCCACGGCTGAGTTTTTCACAGACGTGGACACCTCACTCTTAAAATTTGGTACAGCTGTAGAATTGAAGGGAAATGAGAGGATTGTGTCTGTAAGAGGGAAAACCTCTCAGAGCTGGGAGTGGGGGAGGACCACTTCGGAACACCACTAAACCAAACTTTCTAAAGTTCTTCTTTCTAAAGCTACTTAAATGGCTTTGAATAAATGATATTCTCGGCAGCGTGCCTTGACCTCGAATGTGCCTCGAGTCTTGCTCCTCTCTAGTGAGCAAACCTCTTGTGAGCTCTGGTAGAGCCTTAACCACCACTAAAAAGAGCTTTTTTACTCGGCTAGAGCATTCCTGGCCAGCCCAGGTGTCCTGTGGCCCTGCCTTTGAAGTCTTTGTTGGCGTGGGAACGAAGGGCTTCTGTAGGCAATGACTTTTTTTTTTTTAACTTGCTGGTTGTCACTTCCTAAACTGCTGTTTCACAAACTTCCTTCTAGTTCATGGTCCAACTGGGTGATCCCGGCAATAGCAGCGGTTATCGTGGCCCTGATGTATCGCTCCTACATGTTGGAGTAAGCGCCTTACTGCGAGCGAACGCGGGAAGAGACTGATCGGGAAGACCATAAGCAATCCGAACCCAGCGTGTTTCTGGACACAAGCCCCGTGTCTGAAGAAAAATTCAACTTTTTTTCAGAAAACTGAACAATTCTCTTCTGCTGTGCACTTTTCTTAACGTTGCCTTCTTATTGCTGTTCTGGAGTGGTGAAAAGGCAGCACTTCTCTTTTTGTATAACAATTTTATCTCTAATGAATTATTTGATAACTGTATTGGTCTCTGTGTTAGGATATTGTTTTGTATGTAACACTGATTCTGGTTATTCCTCTTCCCTCTGTAATGGGGTCCATAGGAGACTCTCTACATAGAAATCTTGCAGCTTTAAGTGACTACCAAAAGTGTGTGCATGTATTTGTCCATGTGCACAACATCACTTAACAAACCATGCTATCTTCCTAAATGTAGTAGGTTTGGATGAAACGCTAATTAAACGTAACGGGAAAAGCTGAGTGGAGTAGTGGGTCTAGGTGCCTGTGAGCGGTTGGGCCCTACCAGTCAGGCTGTAACGAGCTGATTCTTTTCTTTCCTCTTGACAGCTGCTCTTACAGTTGTTGTCATAGTCAACTGCTCTGTTTGGCCCCCATTGAAAAATTCAGGTGAAACACAAAACCCAACCTTTGGCCCGATTACAACTGTCTCAGTTTTGGGGAAAGTAGCTCTTTTTTTGAAAAAGAAAAAGAAAAAAAAAAAGGGCAGAAAAAAGTAACTGCTACTAAATAATACTGATCCTGCCAAGCACTCAGGTGAGTCTAGAACTTGTTCTGGAATTTCTAGGCTTTTATAAAATCTTCAACTTTTGTCGTGTGTACATTGTGAGGGAAAAACTGGTACATGAGCTCTGCTTCTGGCCGTTCCACGATGTGCTCCGTGACTCTTTACTACGAGGAGGTGACTGTTTTCACTGCTAAATACGAGATAGCTGCAAGTTTGCATTTTGTGGTGAACCTTTTTAGTCATATGTAAATGATCATGAATAAAAGATTAATTGCTTACTCTTGCTGGCTCGGATAACTTTGTCTCAGACTCTTTTGAAGGCCTTGGGAGGGGTGCTCTTGCGTGTTGGGACACTTCTCAGGTACCTGGTCGGTGCTGGAAGTCACGGTATGTCCCTGGTGCAGGGAAGTCGCATGTAAAGGTGAGGAAGCGTGTTACAGAGCAGTTAGTGTAGGTGGTTTTGTCAGCATGAGGGACTTGTCACCAGTGAGGGACTGGGCAGCAGTTTGGCCCTGCGAGCTCTGCCTCTCCGACGTGCCTCAGGGCTCGCAGCGCTCTCCCGAGGGCAGCCTCTGGGGAGCCTGTTGGGGCGAGCCACAGGAAAAGCTCTAAAAACCGGTCACTGGGGGAGGGGACGTGGCTTCAGGAGATGGTGTTGTGGTATGTAGGAATGTGTCAGTGCAGGAATCCTTCAGGATTTCCTCACTGTGGGATTCCTCGTGTGGGAGTTCCTCACTTAGAGGAAATAAGGATGTCTCGTGTGGCTTCAGCTGTGGGAGTGCTCAGTATCGCTTATTTTGTGTTCATGGCTTCTCTCAGACTTGGTTATGGACAAGCCGTGTGCATTTACAGTAGACCCCATCGACAGCTTCACCTTGGCAATTTTAGCCTGCAGTACAGGTGGGAGTGTTGGGGGTTCTGTCTAGCACTCGCTTGTTTTGTCCTGGTGTTGCCCTAGCTTCTCCTCTGAATGTGGTGAAGCAGGTTCAAAAATTATTGACTTCTTTTTTTCTACAGATAACCTTTAAAAAGAACAGCTCTGAATGTGGTGAAGCAGGTTCAAAAATTGACTTCTTTTTTTTCTACAGATAACCTTTAAAAAGAACACATTAACTCTGAGTCGGTATGCAGACTCATAAATCACGTTTCAAGGACTGAATTTTCTGTTAGTTTTTAAAATAACATTTGAGTTCACATGTCTAGGTGAGGCAAAAAAACCCAACAAACCAGCAACTTCAGAAAGCTTAACCTTTCACGTATATATATATTGCCTTTTTTTTTTTTTTTACAAGAAATTCAGGCTGGGAGAATTTGTGCCCATCAGCAGGCAGGGTAGTGCGAAAGGCCTTTTTTCCAAGCTGTCTGTGCGTTGGGAGTTCCAGCATGCTGTAGCTCTGTTTGGGTCCCATACACTGCACGTTTATGCAGCCCCCCGGGCTCCCTGGGTGAGCTCAGACCCCTCCAAAAGCAGTCGGGCTGGCACACGTGGGGAGTTCCCCCCGTGTGAGCCGAAAGACGAGCGGGCAGCGCTTCAAACCCGGCTCCCAGTCACCGTGCTGGTGCCTGCGGCTGGTCTCTTCACACTCCCTTCCACCGGTGCTGGTGTGAATGGTTCCTCAGGCGGACGTGACTGTTTCAGGTGTTTAGCTCCAAACTGATAAAAGTGATCAGGCTTAATTTGCCTTTTTAATGCCCTGAGGTTAGAGCTGCTTTCCATGGGGGGTCATAGAGGAGGTTTTGCTTTAGCTCTTAGGAGAGGAAGAGAAAAGGTGTGTGGGCGTGGTGAGGGGTGGATGACTGCTACTGGAAAACAGGTGAGTTAAGGGTAGCTGCTGTTTTTACAGTCTGGTGGCGAAAAGAAAGATGGACAGAGTCTGCTTGCTTCTCAGAACAAAATCCTCTGTACCCGGATCCTATCTGAAGGTGCTCGGATTGTCTTGGCAATTAATTTTTGGCCGTAGGGGTTGGTCTTGGTGGTCGATGCTTTAAATCAGATGTCCTCTTGTGGTGTCTCCTCGTAAAAAAAAAAAAAAAAACAAAAAAACAAAAAAACCCCCACAGTGTTCACACCAGCCGTCAGCGATCGGAGTGTTGCCCTTTTGGCCTTCGTTTGCCTGTCCGCTGTCGTTGGCAGGGACACAGAGGGCTCCCTGTGATGGACACGGCCTCGGCTTCCCATGGAGCTTCCTGTGGTGTCCGTGGAGTGAAGCCAGCACAACTTGTTCACTCGCTCCCTCGGCTGCGATGAGGGGAAACCGATGTGCTGTCCCCTTGTCCGGCTCCCGCGCTTCGGCACGCTGCCTTTCGCCGGGGTTTTACAGAATGATGGGGAGAAACTGGTGGGTGGGATAAAAGCTGAGCAAGGGGAGCCTGGTCACAGATTTTCTTCAGAGGCAAAAAAATGGGAAGGTGGTGGTGTTATTTTCTGAGTGTTTGATTACTGAGGTAAATGAATGTTTATTAAATTCTTGGCTGTTTGAGCAAAACTGACACTGTATTCTGCAAGGCTGGTAATGAAGATTATTAACTGAAACTCAGAGAGAATGAGCTGTGTCAACGTGTCACACAAACACGTAGAACAGTCATAGCGTTACAGCATTTTCTCCTGAACGTAGAAGAGGCTTTGAGAAACGGCATCGAGGGAGCAAGGAGCGGGAGGAAGCTCGTGCTCCTGTGTGCTTGGCTCTGATGCCTGACCAGAGCTGAGCTGAAGCTGGTAACTAACGGATTGTATATTGGAATTTTACTTTCATGCTACATTACATTCCCTTTCGTGATTAATTCATTAGGTGCTGAAATATTTCGAGTTTTGAATGACCTGGCTTATAGGGGGGTGGGCAGACAATCACATGAATTAATGAGGAATGTTGGGACATTTGATCTCGGTAGATGATTAATGATGGATTTTCTGTGGTTTTTTTTTGTCCTGAAAACTAGACAGACTTGTTCTTAATCTTCTTACATGTAAACACGTGCGTGGAACAGTCCTTGACACTTTCAGTGCCAGCTTTCTAAACCCAGGGCCCTACACTGTGACTGCTGGTCCGTGTTGGTGGCTGCTACCCCAGCGCTGGGAACGGGCTGGATTGCACCGCGGTCTCACGGATGAGGAGTAGGTTGTGACTTTTGTCCTGTCTCGTGTGACTTCTGTGCCCGTGTCTCACGGCTTACTGTGCTCGGGCGGGCAGCGTGCTGCCAAGAGCTGTCACTCCTGCCCACGGAGAGGGAAGTCGCACTGTCGGGCGAGAAGAGTTACGCACAGGAAAACCTTAGGGAAGGTTTTTGGTGTCTCTGGATGGAACACCACAGAGCTCAGGTGGACCCCCACAGTAGCACAGTCATCACAGAAATCTTGCCTTTTTCCCCAGATCCTGGTCTATGGATAAAGCTGAGTGACCGGTGCTATTGCAGGGTGAGAGCGCTCCATGGTATCTCGAGTTCCACCAACTTCGGTCCGGGATAAATGCGGCCTTGTGTTGTTGGAAACGATCAGGGTTTTACCTGTCAGCTGTGGGGAAATGTCTCTGACTAGAGTGTCCTCTGGAAACTGCTTCAAGGTCTAGGAGCAGGGCGGGTAGAGAGACAAAGGGTGGGCCAGGCCAGGGCAGTGCTTCCCTAAAGGACTTCTTGAAAGTCAGGAAAGATCATTCTCCTGTCACGTCCAGTTGTCACAGATTTCTGAAGCCAGTTGATGCTTTTGGTGTCACTCATCTGGCCTTACCGTGGCCGTAAGGGGATGGTAGGTGTGTTGTCTGCATAGGTGTTGAGGGTGGACGTGGAAGAAGAGCTCAGCCTGCCGCTTAGCAGCCCGCAGGGTGGTGGGCTGGGAACCAACTTGTCTTTGTCTGGGTCTGTTTTCAGAGTAGCGTTGCAGTGGGTGACGTCCCCTGCACCAGCTTGAGGAGGACAAGCAATTCGTGAATAACAAAGGGGAGTTTGTACTTGAGCAGTCACAGCTGCTGGGATTAGAATGAGAAACCCTTGGTTTAGGTTGGGGTGGTTCTGTAGAGCTGCTTTTTGACCCTACTGAAGTAACAAAGACGCTTGAGTAGTACGGGTTATTACGGGCTTTAGTTGTCCTGGTGAGAGGTCTGCAGACCTGAGGATATGGGTGAGCAAGTTCCTAGTTTACAAGCTGAGGTGTGTAGGTTTAAAGCTATTTAGCTCCTCCCAGGCAGCTCCTGGCGGTGAGCTGCCCTTAGTCTTACTTGCATGCGAGGTAATTTATTGCAGCTTTGCAATAAAT